GCAAGCGTATTTCGAATCTTATGCTCTCGTACATGCGGACCCGATTAAGCTTAAGGATACTCTCGGTATACCCGGCTGATTTCACCAATCCGTGAACTATAAATCTTGCGTACCACGGCGGATTAAGTAGCTTGCTTTATCGTCGTCTGGCGTGAGATCTCAGAGCTGGAGAGTCGCCGATTTGGGATTAGCCGGCTGCATTAAATCAGGAACACTCGAATCGGTTCCGTACATCGAATCTCCTAAAGCTTCTTGTGCAAGCAATAGAAAATAAAGAATAACGCCAATTGGCTACGTTCATTTTCTGCATGCTGCATAACCATACTATTAAATCTGCAAGACTGCAAGCACAAGAAATTAGGCGTTGAAAAAAATTACTTTGCGCAAATAAAGAAGATTTTTAGTGATGAGAGATCCGAGATTATATTCGCGTAAGCTCAGATATTGCATAGAAGCGGCGCAAAATGGAGGTAGACGATCGGAGGGAACGAAGTCAGAAAGCAAGGGCTCAGGCGAGGCTCATTTTGTTCGAAATTACGATCTTCTAGCTAATTATCTGCACCGAAGTCATTAGTATTACGTTTGCGCGATGGCGGGCAAGCCAGTAATACAATTTACATCGGGATTCGCCGGCAACGTACTGAGCATTAACCAGAAATCTCGACGGTGCTCGACACACCGTGACACGCCGGGGCTTAATATAATGGAGTCTTGAGGAACCAGTAATTACGGGGGAATCGAGGTCGAGAAACGATTTACGGCTGAACGAACGGCCAATGGCTCCTTCCGTGGGAATACGAAAAGGGGTGTTGCATTTCCGTCTGGCCACGAAATGAATCCTCGCGCCCGGTTGCCGTGCGATCGATCTTACGAAACGATTTGAGAGCACCTTCAAGGATTTAGGAGACAACGAAGAGCAAGGGCAAGACGACGCTTACGGAAACCCGGGGGCTTTCCTCTCTGATCCGCTTATGTCGCTCGGTAAAAGTATCGATTCGTTTATTATGAATGGATAGAGAGATACGTTAATTTACATTTAATTTTATAAACACCATATTAACTTTAGAAGCAAAATTATAATTGCATCTTACGCTCTCATGTTTCTTCATCTTAAATATTTTATCTTAAAGTTTGATAACATACAATTTATTATAGGAAATAAGTAAACATTCCTTTATAAAATTAAGCAGATATTCCATTTAATCTGAAAATTAGAATAAATTATGTATGTATTGGACAAAAGGCTTTAGCAGGCAATAAGAGAGAAGACAAATGAAATAATATAGATACAATTATTTTTTAATTGAAAATAATTTAAAATAAAATGTACATACTATCAATATTTGTATATTGAAAAAATAAATTAATTACTAAGTTTGCACATTTTTCTCATAAAATTATAACCGTATTAAATATTATTATTTAATATTAACAAAATTTCTTTTTATCAGCAATAATATAATTATAATATAATAAATAAGTTATTACTGCTCAATTAAGTATTTAATAAACTAAATAAATGAAACATAAAATAAGGTAAATCCGTCACAGAAGAGAGAAAAGAAGAGGGGAGAAGGCGTGGGGAGAGAGAGAGAGAGAGAGAGAGAG